TAAGTGAAAGAAGCTGCTCTGAAAAGACTGCACAGGAGAGCTTCCACTTGCTGGCCTTCTGGAAGAGGCAACACAAACAGTAAAGAAGAGTGATTGCCACAGGGCGTGGGTGCAGGTTGGGAATGCCAGGAGGGGCGAATACATGGTGTGGCCATTATCATCCAGTCATGGATTTGCCTAGATCCAGAGAATGTACAGGACCAAGAATGACTCTTCCCTGAGCTCTGGGAGTTGATGGGTCTATTGAGATTTGTCAGCTGTACGCATTTGTGAAGAACCCGTGCTCAAGAAAAGTCTGGCTACAACTAACTGTGGTCTGTGGAGGATATACCACGTGAACACCCATCCAAAGAAAACTACAACACCCACATTAATTTCAGACAGAATTGACTTCAGAATACGGACAAAGAGCACTAAGTGAAATTAAAGTACTAGGCAGTGATACCTGTTTGTAGTTATACAGCTTAGGAGACCTGGTAGTTTTAGGGCTGACCTAATACTTCTGGTGTGAAATTCACAGTGTGAATAAAACAGTAAAAACTCCACTGTAGTCGAATGAAACTGGATGAATTGTTAACAGTTGTAACTTTTCTTTATGAGCTTTCTTCTACTCACTAAATGCTGCATGTTTGTCTTATTATCTCACAGGTGCGTGCTGAGATATGTCAGAAGCAACACTTAGAGGAGGCATAGTCAGGCTCACCATCTCACTGATAAAACCACAATCCTTGAAAACTCTCTGAGAAAGGCTGAGCTGTAAAGAAAGCTCCATTGCTCTATATTTGGGGCATATTTCTGTGTTTGTATTTGTTGTTGCTAAAGGATACATTTCTAGAAGCCACAGGGCTCCTAATGTTAAAACTCAGCAATGGTATTATTTGCTAGTAACCATATCATTAAAATACAAGGGAGCCAGAGGCCCAGCCTAATCCGCATCCGGACACACACTTGTCTAAAAAACACACTTGGTTTGGAATTTGATTAGAACAGCATGACATAAGGCTGTATTCCTAATTGCATTATTGCATGCTCATTTCATTACACTTATTGTTTTCTGTGAGAAAACTCATAAAAAATAAAATGAAGGAAAGCCTTTCCATTGTTTTCCTGGAAGAGTATCAAAATCTCCTATCTGCCTTAACACATCTGGCCTTGTGCTCCTCAGAGGAAGTGAGCACACGGTCTCTAAGTAATCCCTGGGTACATCTGTCTGCAGCCCAGCGATGAAGCACTCAGATCAAATTCCAATGTTCTTTCCCCACTGAAATAAATTTAAAATGGAAAGTACACAGTCACGGGTCTTTCTGGTCAGTCGTAGTCTAGTGGAGACCATTCATGGTAGGAGAAGGAAGTTGGCAGCGGTGGTGGTGATGATGGCGTTTGCAGAGTTCCCAGTGCTACAGTGTGTAGACTCCAGTGATGGGAGGATCTGGGTCGTGTCTGGTTTTGTTCTTCTGTAGTAGTTGTACTTTGTCAGCTCTGTCAGACATGGGCGATGGTAGGTGGCGTGTCCTGGGCACAGAGCATTAGTTTTTTCAGTATACGTGGCTAGTCACAAAATCTAGGGACAGCTACCCTGACCCTGTTGTAGCATCCTCCTCGTCTTCTTCTGAGACTGGAAGCTCGGAGTCTCCAGTGAACATTCATTGAAGATTAGTTAAAAGAGTTTTTCACTGTAACTTGAAACTGAAGGATTCACTCGCTTCAAACACTAGGAAGTGGGAGATACGGATCTCCACCCTTTAACTGCACCCTGAGTGAGCTGAGCAGCATTGCCCTTTGGCCAGATGAACCCAGCTGAGAACCAAACCAAATCTTGACGCTGAGATTTTCTAGCCTTGACCCTAAATTGAGCTCTTGAACTTCAACACTGCTTGCATTTAAGGCTGCTCTTTCTTTTTCCTGTCAATCCTGAGATACTTGAGTAGCATTTCCAGCCTCTACCTCAGTTCCCAGTGAAAATCCTCTTCCTCCATCAGAGACAACTGAAAACCTGCAGTGTTCTGTAAGAGGAAGAGGGGTTGGAGAGCCTCCTCTGGAAGTAAGTTAGATGGCCTCTTGATAATTTTCTAGGTTTTGGTTTTACTTTTAAATATTTTTACATATTTTGGATGTTTTCATAGATTGATTTTAGTTTTAAGAAGCATAAAAATAACCAAGAAATTGATTGCTACTTTTGAAGTGAAAGCAAGGACATGGTTTTCCCTTGACTTGAATTTAACATGGGGACCTTTCAGTCCCCATGAGAAGTGAGAAGTGTGTTCCACACTGTAGGCATGAATTCTTTAGTCCATATTGTTCTCAACCTTCCTAATGCTGTGACCCTTTAATACAGTTCCTCATGTTGTGCTGAACCTCACCTCCAGACATAAAATTATTTTCATTACTACTTTGTAACTGTAATTTTGCTATTGTTATGTAAAGTAAATATCTGATATTTCTGGTGGTCTTAGACCCAGGTGACAGGATTGTTTGCCCCCAAAGAAGTCGCAACTCCCGGGTTGAGAACTACTGCTTTCTAGGTCAAAGCTAGTTTAACAGGTCAGGAATCTGCATGAGAGGTGTCCAAGAGTTGCAGTGTAAATGTGTTTCTTCATTTAAAGCAACAGGCAAGCATGCAGCTGCTGGCATAATAAATATGTGTTCCGCAAGGCCACCCCTTCCAGATGGGCTGTTCTAAACACGCAGGTGGTGGCAAATTCTACCTAGTTGGGTTAAATTTATCAGAGTTTTTGAAATGTAAAACACTCAAGAATGTTCACTGCAGCAGACTGGAGACATCCTTTTAACTCGGGGTTCTGGTGCACATCATCTGGAGAGGTGGGAGTGCTGAACTCCAGCACATATTTTAGAGCATTCTTGGCACACTGCTGTAGACTCATCGGCTATGCCCTCCCTCTCCTGACACAAGATCCTGAAAAAAGGCAGCTCCACTTTAATTGTTTTCGTGATCACACTGCATGCAAAAGCCCTATTTTCACCAATTATTATTTATTTTGTTAACCTTAAACCATTTTTAATGGTGAAAAGGACAAAAAGCCAATTTGTATATTTTACCGAAAATTTAAAAGGCACATGAAGACATCTAAAAATCACTCTGAGCACTCTGCTTGTACTCTTCTGTGGCGTTCATTTTAAAATAACAACCACTGGTTGAATGGTAGTCTGCAGGGAATGCATGAACCGCGCTGCTGCGTCACAGTCGTGCGGAGGTGGCAGGAATTCCATCCGCACTTCCAATCGCCGCTTTCACTTTTGCATATCAAAAATAGTAGCATTTTGAAGCTTTTTAATATCAAGGGATTGTTTTTTAAATATTGAAACACTTCCAGGAATCACAGGCTAGTTTCAAATGTTAGATTTATTTGAGAGTACTTGTTTTTGCCTTTCTAAGGGGAAATGTTAGTGATTAGCCAAAGTTGCTTGACTTCGGTGCTTATTTCTCTGAAGGTTCTTATAGCCTTGTGATTTTTGCTTTATGTGACATCCAGAGGAGATTCATGGGATTTTATGGTAGCTGCAGGAGGAAATTTTAGTTTTTCTTTTTTGTTCCTTTTTTCTTTTTCTGTTTGTATAAAAGCCTATTTTATTGGAGAAAATCAGAGGGTGCATTTCACCCCCACATGGTTTCATTCTCGTCTTATGTCTTTTATATTATTAATCCACTGTGCCTAGTTCTTGTACATGAATGAAATCAGGGCTCAAACATATAGTTTACTGTCGAGTAAACTTTCTATGAGAAGTGTTTGTTCAGGAACACAAATGTGCTGTACTAATGTGGATTGGATAATAAAACTTTGCCAGCAGAAGACACGTGTTGTTTCAAGTATTGTTAAAGGGGTTCAGACAGGCAGTTGTTCCTTTGTGGAAGTTAAATTGCTTTTTAGTAAACTGAAGTTAATACATACTTACTAGACACCTACTACTTGCTACAAGACTACTAGGCTGTTACAATCTTTAATCTGTTCAAGTGAATGATATCAATAGTACATTATTAGATAATAAATCAACATGATGGAAGTTGTGTTACAGCCTCCATGATCATGATGATTAAGTTAAAACTCAGAAGTATTAATTTTAATGTTTTCTTTCATAAGATCTATCCTGTTCCAAAATGTGACAATGAATAGCTCTTTTAAAGGAAGAAGCCCCTTTTTTTAAAAAAGGATACACTTATCATCCTGTTATAGAGAGGCTCACTGAATATTACCTTGGAGCAACAGCTCAATTCTTTAGGTGTACATTTAGTCAATGACCTGGACACTTATTTGAAAGTCCACTGTGAGAAAGTTAAGATGCAAATTTTTCATGTTTCCAGACAATACACTGTTACTAAAATTTTAATGCTCAGTTGCTGAAGAAATTTCTGAAACAAAGTAATCCTTTTGCTAAGATATTAAGGTCATTTCTTTCTTAGCCTTTAGTGAGTCATTAACATTTTGTTTTTTCCTTTGTATTCTGAGAGAGATAAGATTTGGGAGAAGTTACATAGGGTCTCAGTGGAATGTAGAATTAAATGACATCAAATCTTGCTTTGGTGCCTGGGACATCTTTGTATGCATTGATGTTTTTCTAAAAATGCTGCTGCTGCTCACCTCTGAACATCTTGTGTTTGTAAGTCGGTGAAGCTGACCACATTTTTACATTTACATTTACTTTGGATGTTTACCAGGAATACGTGCTGATATTCTCATTTATTATGGCCCATATTTAACTATTACATAATTGTATGTCCCAATGGAAAGAAAATCTTTGAACTTATAAATCATGTTAATTTTAATTTTGTTGCATTGTTGGTTTTGGCCTAGCCTGACTTCTCTGGTTCCTTGCAGTGAGTAGATGTGCTCAGAACCATGTATGTCACCTGCTGTGTATGTTGTAAAGGAAGTGCTGGCTCTCTAAAATAGATGATGTCATTCATTGCTGTTTAGTCTGTAAAAGTCCTGATTACATGTAAGCTTAAGATGGGAAAATAATTTTATTTGTTTGTTTTTTTCAAGGTGATGGGTGTGGACACACCGTACTCGGCCCTGAGAGTGGGACACTTTCATCCATCAACTACCCATACACCTACCCTAACAGCACCGTGTGTGAGTGGGAAATCCGAGTAAAGACGGGAGAGAGAATTCACATCAAGTTTGGTGACTTTGACATTGAAGATTCTGATTCTTGTCACCTTAATTACCTGAAAATCTTTAATGGAATCGGAGTCAGCAGAACGGAAATAGGTAGGACATTAATGCATGTTATATATCATTCTCTTAGGCTTTAAAACTGAAATGGTTTTTGATATTTAATATTGAATAACTGGTGCATAAAATGATGTGAGAAATCATAGGAAATTTAGAAAACTCAAATCAAATCTTCTTACAGGAAGAGGATCTTCTCATCTGCATATTAGCATGTGCCCTTTAGTACAAGATGGACATGGTTACCTTCTTGCAAGACACATATGGCAACCTCTTGCAAGATGTCAGGTGGTTACCTTCCTGTAAGATGCATATACTATCTTCTTTAAGATGCACATGTTACCTTCTTGCAAAATACACATGGTTGCCTTCATGTAAGATGTACTTGGTTACCTCCATGCAAAAAGCACATGATTACCTTAGTGCAAGATATACATGCTTTCTTACTGCAAGATGTGTATGGTTACCCTTGTGCAAAACGTGCTTGGTTACTTTCATGCAAGGTGTCACTGTGCTGCTTCTAAAAAGGTAGAAGTTAATTCTCTTACTTTTATGTTTTCCTTTGATTGTTTTATTTATGGTCAGAGGAGAGAGATATAATTCATGTGTACTCAGGAGGAATTGCAACATGCACTTTGTGGGTTTAGAATCCAAACCAGTTTGGATTCAAGCCTGTTTGCCACTAGCCCATTGTGATCTGTTGGGAGCACCCAACCTGTGTGCGAGTGTATATGTACAGTGCCTGGAATGGTGTGTGGTGCAGAGTAGATGCGGAGTATGCAGTGGTGACTGTATTTCCAGTCTGTCAGAGCAGTGGCTCTCGGTTAGAGCCGTGTAACAGAGTCACCTGGGAGACCAAAAAACAGACCATAGGCATGCTTTCCATCCCAGGCCAACAGATTGAAGGTGACTGTGTGAGACGGAAGCCTCGGAGTTATAAAAGCTTTCCAGGAGAATCGACTTCACTGCCAAGATTTAGAAGTTTGGCTTAGAGATCAGTACCATTCTCTTAAGAAAGCTGAAAACTTTGTAAAGGGTTTAGTGAACTGACAAGAAGTAAAGTACACTCTTATTTAAGCATTTCTTGGCATCAGGACACACAGTAGTTTTCAGAATTATAGTTGGAATTTTTTAATTGTTCCTTGACTATCCAACTTGTGGTCATCCCCTGACCTCTCCATCCCCAGCCACGTCTTCATCCAATCCCACCTCCTGGGTACTGGTTGGTAACCTGTGTTGTCACTATAAAACTTGATTAACCTGGTGGCTGGAGCAGCTCCTGCATATTCATGAACATATGGTGCTGGGTAAAGCTGCAGAACCTGGGCCACCTGGGAATGCAGGAGCAGCAGTGCTGCAGTGCTGGTGGAGGATGCTTGGATCGTGCCTCTGAGGATGCAGAGGAGCAGGCGCTAGTGCTCTGTGAGCACCGGCTTGTCTGCCACTTTATAGGAAATGGAAGAGATGGAAAAATACATTATACATGCTCACTAAGTGCTAAGTAAAATTTTTAAAAGACATTTTTCCAGTTAAATTTTATTTTTCAAACTTTTTGTTTTGAGTATGTTAATTGAAATAAAATCTCCTCACGTCTCTCTCTTTCCTCTCTTCAGCCCCTTTCATATACCCCTAGGAGATAGCCTCTTTTTCTTTAAGTGTGTGTGCGTGTGTGTGTGTGTGTGTGTGTGTGTGTGTGTGTAAAATCTGTTGAGTTTAAGGTTTTTTATTTGCACATATATGGTTTCAAAGCTGACTACTCTGTGTTGGATAACCAATAAGGAGGTTCATCCCTGGGAGAGATTAATTTTCCTTCTTCTAGCAGTCAGTAACAGCATGTAATTCTTTGTCTAGGTTGAGACCCCTTCAAAATCTCTCCCCTTCCACATTAACATATCCATTGATAGTGTCATTGCTCTGGTCCTGCTTATGCAGCTATTTCTAGGAGAGACTGTTTCACCACGTTCTTCCTGGTACTCTGACTCTTAGGATCTTCATGCCCTTCCTTCCACCGTGTTCCCTGAGCCATAGATGCAGGAGCTGTCATGTAGATCGGAGCCATTGGTGGGACTGGACTCTCCACAATCCCTTCATGAGCACATGTTGTCCAGTTGTGGGTTTTGTTGTTGTTGTTGTTTTGTTTGTTTGTTTGTTTTTTGGAGACAGGGTTTCTCTGTGTGTCTCTGGCTGTCCTGGAACTCACTCTGTAGACCCGACTGGCCTTGAACTCACAGAGATCCAGCTCGTCTTCCTTCCTGAGTGCTGGGGTTAAAGGCGTGCCCCACCACTCAGTTGCGGGTTTTTGTGATGATACCAATTTTCCATGAAAAGACGCTTATTTGATGAGAAATAGCCACACTTATCCGTGGGTATAAGGATAAGATTTAGGATGGAGTTAGTGATTATGGTGCTTTAGCAAAGCAGTGGTGCATTCTTGTCTAAGATTCATAATCTCATTAGTCCCATGAAGCTGGTTAGCCCTCCAGCACCTGGTGTGATTTCCCTCCTGTTGAGTGGGCTGTACATTCAGTTAGATAGCTGTTGGTTGTCACAGACGTGTGAGTACTACTTTTTGCACCTTTATGTATATCTTACCATGCTGTAATTGCCCTGCTTCAAGGATGTTGCAGCTGGGTGGGACCACTTCATTGCTTCCCTCCTTGAACAACTTGCATAATGTTTCCTGAGCACATCAGAGGAAAGAGGTTTTCAGGTCAGATCCAGCCTGAATCATCTGAGTCCTGGGTCCTAAGTGTGTGGTATCTAAAAGGGTAGTTTAAAACATAGTAGAGAAATTTGGGAGGTATTGACCATTCACTGATAATAAAGAATGATTGTTTTAGATGTGGAAACGACTTCAAAGACTGAGTAAAGGTGGCAGGGGAGGTATGAGCCAAACAAAGGGGTTGTGTAGGAGCTAACATTCTAATATTTGTGTGTGCTTTTGGAGCTTTTCATGGTAACTTTTTTTTGTTTGTTTTAGTAAAACAAGTGAATTCTGTATTTGGAAAATGAGTCGAGTTTTGACCTTGCAACTAGAGAGGAAAGGTGGCATGGGAGACCCTGGGGACATGGGTTTGGCATTGCTGTCAGCCAGCACTCCAGGAGCTCCCTGTTAAGAGTCCTGCACACCAACTGTGAACCTGCCTAGATTTCAGTCATCTTCTGGACCTTTAAAGGCATGGAGTAAAGTCGTATTTGATCCTGCTGGCATGTGATAGGTGTTTAATTGTCTCAGCTATCTTGTATTTTCCATTCTTTTTTCTTCCCACCTCCACTCTTTGCACAAGGTACAAAGTTGCAGAAATGTCAGAGGGCCAAGTAATGATGGCTCCTGCGGAATCTTAGTTTGAGGGCCCTGTCACCTCATATCAGTGACATGTGCTGCTCCTCCATTGCCACATGGTCTGTGGTTAGTGGTAGAGATGTGTTTTCTGACCCTTCACAGAGAAGGGATGATCCTTTTAAAACAGGCAGTTAACATTCTGGCCAATGTATCTCTGCAGAGGATTACAGAAGAAAGAAATACAAGGTTCCAGCAACAGAGGTTCTGCAATCTGTTGTAGTCTTGTCTCACTGCCGTTTCAGAACAGAGGCAAGCCCAAATGCACTACATTTCCCTGTAACTAGCACCCACTTTGATACTGAAAATTAGCCTTGGGTTTATAAATCTTAAATTTTTTTCTCTAAGAAGTAGTAGTCTGGAAACAGAAGTATAGTTTCTAGAGGGTGATGTTTTAAATCATACTCATTAGGACGTGCTCAGCTGACTAAGTACTGGTCTGTGTTGCAGCTGGGCAGTTATTTCTTGTGTTCTTTTATGTGCTATTAGTAGCCTCACCTTTTCTACCTGACTTCTGAGTTGCCAAACTGTGAGGTGTTTGTAATACACCCTGTAATAGTTCTTAGAATAGAAATATTGAGGGACAGGTGGCGTGTGTAGTGATTGACTTTAAAATGGCTTTCCAGATCTGAGTTCTGTCTTTGCTTATTAGAGTATAGCTGTATTAGAGTAAGAAAGAAAAATTGAGTCTTGACGTAGAATTTTTGATTTTTTTAATCCTTAATGTAAGGCTCAGAATGTCTTAGATTTATCTTGTCCAGATCTTACAATTCATTATTTCTTAAGAAGTCTTTTGTTCTGCCAATGTAGAATAAAATTAGAAATCAGTATCTTTTTTACGTTTGGAACAGTGGGCTGCCATACCCTCTACACACAGACTTGATAATTGATGTGTGGGTAGGCATAAATACTTGTATGTATACATTGCATCTGGGTTGTTTTGTTGTTGTTGTTTCTCTAGCTGTAGTTATTAAAAATTTTTGAGTTCTTGCTGATTTAAAATCTTTATCCATTATTTATTATATGGTTCATTCCACCCTTTTCTCTTTGTATTATAACTTACTTCTCTCTATGTCTCCTTGTCCTTTTGTTTGGTGCTCAAACCAGAAAAATTAGAATTGCTAAAGCTTTGCTTTGTTGGGCGTGTTTAGCTTTTTGACACTTTCAAATGACATTGTTCCCCACAAAGTTCACACTCAGGAACTCTACAGTAGAATTACAAAAGCAAAAGTCTCATCATATTTTAAGTACGATCCTGGAGTGTGAACCATAGGGTGGCCCTATCTGCAGGAGAAGACTACTTAAAATTATTTGTTTAGAGTCTTCACCTGAGGGAATGCTGTTTCCTAACTGTGTTTGAAAGAAAGAAAAAAGAAGAAAGAAATCCCCATTCCTCCTCTTTTCCAGGTCTTCCATGTGGTATATCCTAACCTGAGGTATGCCTTGATTCAGTTGTGCGTCTTCTTAAAAATTACTCAAAGTTTTGATATCTCCAATAAAAGTTTATTTTCTAGAAAAGCTTTGAGAAGGCTTTCTTGGTGTGCTTCCCTGTTGCCTGGCAACAGGTCTGGTTTTACGCGTGACTGACTCTCTGTTTTTTAGAATAACTTGGTTGTCATGGGGACTGCTCACTATCCTTACAGAAGCTGTGAGCTTTAGAGGAGCCAGAACCTTCCAGCAACACCTTTTCGGGAGATTT